CAGCTTTACGACGGATTTACGATGATTTCGTCGTAAATTCGTCGTAATGTTTACGTCGGATTTACGACGAATAAAAATTCTATATATATGGAAGCAGCCCTTTTTCATTTCGTCGCTCATTCAACTTCTTCCTCTCCCTGCTTCCTCCTCACTTCGTTGCTTCCCTGCAAACCCAAAAAAGCAGGTAATTTTTTTTTTACTTAAAATCTAATTTTTATTTTTAATTAGTTTAGAAATACAAACGGTTTAGGTCAGAAATTAGTTTAAGCTCGGAATTTGTTAGATTTAGGATCGGAATTTGTTAGATTAAGGATTTAGGGTGTTTGTTAGATTTAGGATCATAATTTAAAATTAATTTGTAATTTTAAAAAAAAAAATTTCCAGTTTTGCAGACGATGACTCGACGGAGGACGCACTACATCACTTTATGGCGGACGGACACTCTTCCCAGGCGTCTGCCTCGGGAAACACCGGGACCGATGTCCCTTCATCTTCCGGAGCCTCCCAGGTTCCACCACCGCCTCCACCACCACCTCCACCGCCAGCTCACGAACCGGTGGCCCACCCTCCTCATCCGTATGCCCAATTTACGGTTGAGGACTTACTAGCCCTACCGGGACAGGGGGCTTTACGACGTCTGGTTCCCGGAAAAGTGGAACCAGGCTCTTATTGGTAAGTAAAATTTTTTGTTTTTTATATTGTTTTAAATTAATGCTTTAATTTTCTTAAATATTAATGTAATGTTTTTTTTTTGGTTTCACAGGTTTGACTTGGATAATTGTGTCGGTCGGAGCGTTTCCGACACAAATAAGAGTCATTTCGTTGAGCCGCACTACAACTGGAGCAAGGTGTCGCAAGAGACGTTCGACACCTGGTACATGTGCTTCGCAGTAATGTTTTTTAAATCTTATTTATATCATATTAAATTATTTTAAATTTAATTAATCTTACTTTTATATTGTTTATATAATTTTTTGCTTTCTTTTGCAGTAACGGTGGAACTGGGACATCGGGATCAACAAGACGGTCTGCGAAGCTTTCCGGCTGAAGGCGCAGAAACGCCTAGTCAACACCGTTTCCGATTAGAAGCGGAAGTGGGAGACCGATGGAGACGACGCAAAGCCGAGCTCCATGTCCACTTTCTGTTGGAACGGGTTGAAGGCGTATTGGCTGGACCCGCATGCCCAGACCACTGCGGCTAAGTGTTCGGCCGTCAGAAACCGGGTCGGTCCTAACGGTCAGAAGTAAGTGATCCCGCACACTTCTGGCCAAATATCTTTTGCGGGAAGACGTCTCATGATGGTAAGTAATTAAATATAAATTATTTTGATTATTATTTCATTTTTAATTATTGCTATAATTTATTAAATATTTTTGACTAATGTTTATTAATTGGTAGGCCGAGAAGAACGGAGGAGAACTACCTCCAATGACGAAGCTCTTCGAGACCACTCACCGGAAGAGGGACGGGAGCTTTGTCGACGCTCGGTCAGAGGAGATCTACAATGCCGCTATGCAGCGGATCGCCGAGCGGGAGATCCATGCCACACCTGACGGTACTATCCAAGTACCGTTGACCGTCGCTGAGCAAGACCAGATTTTCGAGGAGGTATGATCTATTTCAATTTTTTAAAAATTTATTATATTTATTACTTAATAAATAATTAACGTTTTTATTTTCCATTTGTAGGTTGCTCCGAAGAAGAAGGGCCGAACCTTAGAGATGGGCTCTATTAGAGATTGTCCTGCCGCCTCGGCTTCCGGATTTCGCACGCAGGAGGATCCGAGTCATCTTCGCCAGGAGCTTGCTACGGCCAATGCTGAGATCACCACTCTCAGGCATGAGCAAGTGGCCCAGAAGCAGGAGCTCACCGAGATGCACGGTCTCTTCGACATCATTGCGGAAGCGGTTCCGCAGTTGGCCACTGCAATCCGAGCGAGGCAACAGCGAGCACGAGGGGTCTTTGAGACCGGTGGTACTTCCGGTACTGGACCATCGGACCAGCAGACGCAGGGTCAGTCTTCGGCTCCGGTAGTGCAGACGGGAAACGACGGTCCAGCAGCGACGGGCGGCCAAGACGGAGAGCCTCCTCGTGACGTCGATCTCAACCTCGACGATTACGAAATCACATTGTAGATTAGATTTTTTGTAAAAACAATTTGTATTAAATTTTTTCTTTTATTTATAAATTATTTTCGAATTTAAATTTCAATTTAAATTGTTTTTTTCTATTTTTATTTGTTTGATTATTTTAAAAATTCATTAACTAAATTAAAATCGAATTAAATAATTAATTTATAAATCGACGTAAATTTATTAACGTCGAATATTTAACGACGGATTTACGTCAAATATGTTTACGTCAGATTTACGTCGAAACTTTACGACGAATTAACATCGACAATAAAAAAATTAGTTTCCCTTAATTGAAATTGTTCGTCTCCTAATCGTTGTTAAATCGATGTAATTTTACATCGATTTTACGTCGTTCTTATGATGGACTTATTTCATTGTACTTTCATTGGAAAATTTACGTCGCGTTTACGACGAATAGTTTCCGACGATATTACGACGATTTTCCTGGGTTGGTAATTTTACGACGATTTTACGACGATTTCTGTTTTACGACGATTGTTTTACGACGATTTTTTTTTCGTCGTTAATTCGACGTAAATGCTCTTTTACGTCTATTTTACGTCGATATTTGCCGACGTAAAACCCGATCTTTCTTGTAGTGTATGTCTTGATTACCAGTCTCAGGCTTTTGGTGTTAGAAGTACGATTATTTCTTCTTAAATTTTTTAGATATAAGTAATTTCGCTTTTTGAAACTAAGAAGAAGTTCCAAATTTTACTATATAAATAGTTTTGTATATATTTTGAAACATATATAAATAGTTTTCTTTCTTATGAAACATATATTTTACGTTATATTTTTTCTTAATATTTTTTTATGCTAATCCTTCTTCAACAAGATCGAATTGAACCAATCCCTTGTAATTAAGTGATAGTATAGTTAAATGAGACCATCATTATCGTTAGTTTTTTTGTGAGTTTCTTATGAATATTTAATAATAAATATAATCAAATGATACATTTATTTGAAGAAAAGTTTCTTATCTGGGAACCATAAAATAAGTTTCTTCTGCCACATGTCTCTACTTAAATGGTTAACAACATATAATAATAAAATATATTGGGTTTTTGGTTTTGTGGGTCACGTTTTTATACAAAATATAATAATAATAAAAAAAAAAATAAGAAATCTATATGGTTTCTGACGATAATGATGGTCTGATAACCGAGTTAGAGTTTGAAGTATCTCACCATTATTTAGTACTTGAACAAGGAAAAGACGAAAGGGAACATTGGGAAAGCAAGTCTCAGAAATGTGAGTTATTGTAAAAGTGACATGCTAGTAGCATGATACTTACTATAGGCTACAAGAGTTTAATATTGTATAATTTTTACTTTTATCATTTGCATTTTGGACGATTTGGATAGGCAGGAGGCACATGACTTTTCTTTCTCCTCCGGCTCCTACATGTTCCATTTCATAAATATCTTCCTATTATTTTATATTAATTTGTAGAAATTCAGAAAATCATATATGCCTTGTCGTATCAAACCTTGATTTAGCAAATTTGATCATTCCTATTCACAAATATACTTTTTTATGTGGAATCGTTACACATATGTACATGAACAATGGAATCTTTATGAATGAAAAACTTACATATAGGGGACCAGTATACCAAAAATTACCAATTATGTTACTAATTCGTTCTATAATTACCTACAAGAAAAACTATATATATTTAAGGGGTGTCATATGACATCGTGTTGTTCTAAATGGGTCCATGTCCATGTATACAAGCTAATTTGTAAATATAATTAGCATCATATATATATATATTATATATATGCCTCATCCGTCTGAGTTATGATCAGTTTAGTCCAACAAATTTAGCTTGCACCCATTTCATTGGTACCCTCTCAGGCTCTCACTAACCGTTGAGTTATGATCAGTTTGATAATGTCTCGTCTCCTTTGATGTTAGAAACGTAAATTTCAAATAGTCTGGATGTGTTATATCAAGTCTCTAGGCTTAGAATGAATGAATTTTCAACGTTTTGGTCTTTCGTGAGGATCACTTGGAGTCCCTCTTAAGTCTTACCACGTATAAATGTATAATTAAACTGAGAGATTAAGATTTATCAACATCTAATTCATTTCATTCCTCAGCACCATTTGACCATTATTTTAGTTTATGGACATTGTTCTTTGGCTCAGCATGGCGTTTTCATGCAACCGGTTACGAGAAAAAGAGATCTCTCGAGTCATCATTGTTGTTGTTGTTTCCTTTGGTTAATCATTCTCTCAATTAATAATATTGTAACCAGTCCTCAGACAAAAACATTCCTCTAAAGTTTATTTTTCATGATATATGACATTTCAACCAAGAAAATGCTGTCTCAACTCTCTCGTAATTTTTTTTATATATTAGAAAATTAGGAAAATAATAATTAACTGATACAGATATTTAAAAATAAGAAACACCTCACACCTCACATCGTTCTGGTAAATAAACAGTGTGGCCACGTATTGTGTAAGACTTGTCATTTAGTAATTAGATTATTAATCGCCTAAAGCCCTCACTTTTAGGAGTAGACTAGAAATAAACCTTTTTTTTTGTCATGAATTCATCTCTTTGACTATTCATCAATCAAGAATATTCAGTATTTTATTCTTGTTTTAATATTTTATATGAGAAGTATAAATGGAATTGGGTTCTAAAACAATATAAAAAAACCCCCAAAAAAAAACACATACAATACCAAGAGAAAAAGAAGATTAGAAGAATAGTTAAGAGAGAAAATGACAATTAGAGCTTAATGCGTAGGAAACACAAAACATGGCTTCAAGTACAACAAGACGACAAAGTTAAGCTCAACACCTTTGAGTGCTTTGACTCCCTCTCTCTCTCTCTCTCTCATCTGCAATAAAAATATAAAATCTAGCTAAACCATCAGAGAAGCAGCGAAAATTCGAAAACTTTAAAGGAGGAGAAAAAAGAAGGGAGAAAAATATGGGTATTTTATCGGATGACGTTGTGATAATCAGGCAGTCGGAAAAAGAAGGCGACCCGAGTGTTATCACCATCAATTGTCCAGACAAAACTGGTCTTGGTTGTGACCTCTGTCGTATCCTCCTCTTCTTTGGTCTCAACATTGTCAGAGGAGGTAAATTCGATTCTGAAAACTTTTGCTTGAGCATCATGGAACGAAATTTTCGGTATTTGGGTTTCAATCTGTTCTAGTTCTGTGCGGTTTTTGAAAAAAATTGAAAATTTCACCTTGTTATTATCTCCTTTTGTTATGTGACCTGTATGGGTTCGACGAAATTCCTATGTGAAGATGTATCCACTGACGGTAAATGGTGTTACCTGGTCTTTTGGGTGATTGGGAAACCAAACACGAGATGGAATCTGTTGAAGATGAGACTTGTAGAGGCAAGCCCTTCCTTTTCTTGGGCCTTTGGTATCTCAAGAAGTTACCTCTCTGACTCTGAGTTACAGCCTCTCAAGCTTCCTGATCTTTTCCTTCTGAAGCTAGCTTGTTCTGACCGCACAGGGCTTCTGTATGGTTAGTCTCTTTATTGTGTTCTTAATTCTCTGTTTATGTGTCCTCAAGATTTTAAAGACTGTTTCTCTACTGGCAGATGTCACAGAGGTTCTTTACAAGCTTGAGATTAACATTGAGAAAGTGAAGATATCGACTACCCCTGATGGAAAAGTGATGGACTTGTTCTTTGTCACAGACACTAGGTATCAGTCACATAGACTGTTTAAAACTCAAATCTGAAAGGGGAAATTTTGGTTATTCGTAGAATGATTATATAAGGTGTGTTCAATATTTGTTCTTTTCAGAGAGCTTTTAGGTACGGAGAAGAGGCGAGACGAAGTGTATGAGTGCTTGAAAGATGCCATAGGAGATTCAATGATGAGCTATGACATTGAACTTGTTGGCCCAGAAATCACTGCTCGCTCGCCGGCTTCCTCGTCGGTTGCAGAAACATTGTTCTCCTCGGATGTGTTAGCCGAGCACTCAAGTGGGTTACACACTTCGAGCAGTGTGTCTATTGCAGTTGACAACTCACTAAGCCCAGGTCACACCCTCATTCAAATCACTTGTCAAGATCATAAAGGCCTTCTTTATGATATTATGAGAACCTTCAAGGATTTCAACATTCAGGTTTGTGCAAGTGTTTGATGGGTTTTTCTTGACCCTTTATTCATTTTCTTCTTGATGATTTTTCAATCTGCATTTTGCTTAAACCTTGCGTCTCAAATCTTGTTGTATGACCAGATCTCATATGGGCGTTTTACAATCAAAAGAGTAAAGAACTGTGAGATCGACTTGTTCATTGTGCAATCTGATGGTCGGAAGATCCTTGACTCAAGCAAGCAAGATGCATTGATTTCTCGTTTAAGAGCAGAACTACAGCAACCTCTGAGAGTGGTAATGATGAACCGAGGTCCAGATACTGAACTTTTAGTCACAAACCCTGTTGAGTTATCAGGAAAAGGACGGCCACAAGTCTTCCACGACATTGCACTTGCCCTAAAGAAGATCAATACCTGCATCTTCTCGGTATATACATAAACTCATCCAACCACACCATTCAAGCTCATCCCGCACAGACTTTGTTTTTATGACCTAAAATTTCCATCAATAAAATGTCTTTAACAGGCTGAAATTGGAAGACACGTGACAGGAGACAGAGAATGGGAGGTGTACAAAGTTTTTATCAACGAAGAAGACAGCTTACCGGTTACGAGGAGCAAGATAGAAGAACAAGTGTGGAATACTTTGATGGGTTGGGAGTGAAAGCTTGAGACTTCAGGACCATTAGCTAACCTCAGACTCCTTTCAAGAGTATGACTGTAATGCCAAGGAGTATGTAGATAAAGATGACATGAGGAAATTTATCCGATAAACCGGATTTTCTCTAATGATGCAGTGTATAAAATATAGTTTTGAGTGCTCGTTTTTTCTGATGAAAGAGAGATTGTAAGTAGTTAAGAAGAATGTTGTAAATGAGAGTGGTTTTGTAGAAAGAAACTCTAAGCTTTTTTGTTCTTGCAAGGGAAATGGGTCTTTTGAGGAAATCTTTTGTGTCTTCTTCTTTTCGGGTTAAATGGGCCAAGTGTGAAGCCCAATAGTGAGAGTGGCTATTTCGTAATACAATACTTAATGAGGGGTAAAAAGGCAGAAGGAGAAACCGAAAAAATGGAGTCTCTTCTCTTCTCTTTAAGAAGCACACGAAGACAATCCGAAAGCTGACCACAAAGCTTGTTTTCGACTTTGGCGATCAGATAAATCTTTCTATCCAGAAACTTTTTTTCCTTTTTTTTGGCGAGAAAGCGAAACCTTTTAGGCTAAAATGGCGAAGAAAGGAGGAGCGACGCTAGCTGAGGATGCACCGTGGCGTGTCTCATCAGTGAGACCAGTGCCTCGAATCAGTCGCTCTCCGGTTTTATGTATCTCTCAAAGCCCAGAAACCGATTACGCTATTGCCGTCATGAAGGTTTTATCTTTTTCTTCTTTATTGCCTTACTTCTCAGTTTTCAGATTGTAATCGATTTGGGATTTCGAAATGTTACTGATTTTGGGTTGTGTGATTCTTCTCTCTGCAGCATCCGAATCCGGTGGGAGGTGGTTTGGCGATGGAAGCGGTTCTTGAATCTGCAGGACCTGAATGTGTTGTTCCTGGCCAAGTCACGCCTCTTCGACTGCTTGGTATCAAGGTTACTACTTCTTAAGAAATTCGTTTGAATTCTCGATGATGTTGAGTGATTATAGTTGTATGTTTTTCTTGTTCATGTCCTGTGTGTATTAGAATTTTCAGTATCCAGATTGAGTTAGTATTCACAAGGGATAAATCATCTTTGCCAAGTCTGAGTTTTTTACTACTTTTCTCTTATAGTTCACTGGTTTTATTCACTCATGTTAATGAGGTTTGATTTGTTAACAGTTTCATGTTCGTTTCTATTTGAATAGGTGTGGCCAGTTGAGGTTGATCTTAAATTCTTGGAACCAGTAGGAAAAGAGCTGAAAATGCTTGGGAAGGTAAAAGACTCACGTCTTATTGCTTTGTGCCTGAATCAAATTTATTCTATCCAGTTCCTGTCAATACTTTAGATGATACTATTTCTTTCTCTGTATCTGTTATTGAGGAAAAAATTTGAACTCCTAAAGCCCTTGTTTACCTGAGGCTAGTGTGTGGTGTGAAGTTATTTTAATTGGGGATTTAAGTTTTGTATCATGTAACTCATCATAGATGGTCATCTTCTTTTTGAGTAAGCTGGTTCCTTAGGACAAAGCCTAAAGTAACCATGGGGCTCAACAAGTGGGGCTTAGTGGGATTTGAACCCTGGGACCGTTTCTGGTCTAGCGTCCTGGTTCTAACCGAGAAATCTGAATTCCTACCAGATTGCATAGACCAGGATTTTGATTGAGAAACGGGATTAATCTTTATTGCATTGGTTACAGAAGTACTTGTACCTGTCTTTCTGTTTTGTAAGACTTTAAGATTAGAACTGATGTTTTCTTATCATCTTTGGCTGTAATCTAACAGTTGATCTCTCTGTTCTGTTGTTCCTATGAATGCAGTTCATGGACAACGCTGTCGACCTGATGAATAAGTCCTTCATCGACCGTTAAGCACACCATGAAAGGTTGTACACCTGGAGTTTTGGAATTGCGGGAGAAATTGTCTAGTTACCGGAACTTGTTAGATGCAGAGAAAGATCCAATCTTTAGCAAAGTTGAATATGGTGTGTGGTGTGTATATAGAGGGTTTTCTTATTTAACTGTTGATACACAAAAAATCTATATGCTACTAAAATCATTGCTTTGAATTTTACAGTTTTAAAAGGATGTCTTTTTAAAAGGTTTTCCGATGTTGTTTAGATTGGATGCATAGTTCTCTTTTGTGTTCCAAAATGGGATCAAGAATGAAGCATCTTTCCCATGAATTAGCTTAGAATTTAATTTTTAGTCTTGACAAGATCAGCTTATCGGTTTTGGCTAATTCTTTGTGATCACTCAAAAATAAGCGGATAACATTTGGTTTTAGTCGAAAACAATATCTTCTTTTACGCTGACGACACTGATCGAAGAAAATCATAGTTTCGCACTTTCGCTTTCGCTTAATTTTTTTTCTTTCTAAATAAAAGCGGAAAAATGGATAAAAGTTGGAAAGAATATGGTATGTTATATAAATGTACCGGCCCGTATAGTAGATATAGTTCTTTGACATAACAATCTTTTGTACGGGCTATTGGGCCATAGATAATGGCCTCTCTTTTTTTCAATCCTTGTATTCTTGTGTTATAGAAAGTGCGTTTAAAGTGTTTTTAAGATGGTCTCGCGGAGACTCAAATCATTTATTTTCATTGTCCAGGAGACCAGGACTATACATAACAATGCGAGAATGTTGAGCCAGATGAAGAAAAGATTACTCAAAATTGCAAGCACACTATTTTGACAACTTTTTGTGAGTGTTTTTTCTTGGTTAATATGGAAGTTCCTGGCCTAGATCCATACATCTCTCATAATCGGGATCAGTCTTTGAGCTAGGAATTGAGCTCATAGGTGCATACGTTTTCGGTTTACTTGGGTTCTACTACCGCTAGCTCAACTCCACCTTTTTTCCGAGTTTTTCGGCTTACCAACATAACATTAGCATTTATGGTTTTAATATAAATGGCCGATAATGTATTAAAAAAAATGGTCCCGCCTAATAAACATGATCAGCAACTATGTAACGAAAAAGAAAGTCAGTAACACTAAAAATATTGTTGAGAAGCGATGTTGTCGTTGGAGAAAATGAAAGAAACAAGACTTTAAATAGTGACGAAGAGAAAGTTAGGCACCGGCCCATATGAAATCGAATTGTAACGATCAGGGCCGGCCTTGAGTTGAAGCGGGTAAAGCAGTAGCTTTAGGCGCCAGATTTAGAATAAATATTAGGGGCAGCAATTTTTACTAGAATGTCTTCGTAGTCTAGTGGTTATTCCAACTTTCTGTTGAATTTTTTAGGGGCAGCAACCCAAATTCGATGCTTCTAAATGTATTTTTTATGCAAATTTTTTTAACTTGTTTTAGGCGTCAATCACAATTGGGCCGGCCTGGTAACGATTATCTCTCCACAAACTCCAACAATATGTGTATACGCATCTTACTTTTCTGAAAAGGGCAAAAGATTATATAAAAATATAAAACCATATTTTTGGAGAAAAGATACTAAACCTTAATGAAAGTCGCAATTCAATCCCCTTCTGTTGTGTAAAGAAGGAAGATGTATTATGCATGCAGTTGAAAACGTTATCCTACACGTGAGAATGGTTAAGATATCGTAAAACTATTTGTGAAGTCCATGCAGTATTTTTTTTTTTTTGTTAAACTGTGTCCTTGTATAAAAATTTAAAAAGGTAATAACTGTGACATTGTAGTATTTTCCTTTACAACTTACTTTCTAGATTTAACTACATGTACTACACATAACACATTCTCTCATATGATCATAGACTAGTTCAACAAAAATCATAAGGATATATATTTCCATCATTCCCTACTCCCTAGAAAGGCTTTGGAATACTGATTCTGAAAATAATTGGAAGAAAAATTTATGATGAAGATCTGTGGAATATGGGACCCAGCACCAATAATTCTATGCAAGGTCACTTCTCGGCTATTTACTTTTTAGCAGATAGCGAGACTTGTCCTCTTTTACGGTCCATTTTTCTGTCACCTTTGATAGGTTTTTTTGGCCTTGTCCCTCGTGCGAATCGGTATCCCATATTGTTGTCATGTTGTGTTACGACAAATTTAATGATGAAGACATCTATTTGTGCCATAACGTGGTTAATTAGTGCCTTGATGGTGGTGTTTAATTACTTATCAATCTTTCTTTTTTGTTAAAGGGTTTATATTTCATATCTTCATAGTATCAGGGATATCAAAGGCAATGCTAACAAGTTTGATCTAATTTTTTTAATTAAAATATATAGTACCTCGTCAGTTTTTTTAACTTTTTTGTGATGTCAAATTCATTTTTTAAAACTAAAACAAGAAGAAAACTACTAAATCGAAGCTTCAATTTGGTTCAACTTTCACTTGATATTGAATTATAAATTTCGATTTTGCGTATAAGCAAAGTTTGAGAGTTAGTACATGTGGCCGACCTCTTTTAATTTCGTGAAAGCCGTGTGATTGATAAAAGTTGGCATGACTCATGAGTGTACTCTATTATACTATTCAGTCACAAAAAGTTCATGAGAAATACATTTCTAGGGAAAAGAGAAAGATATAGCTACATAATGTTAGGTAAAATTTTCCATATAGGCACATGGGTTTTGAGTATTATATACATTATAATAGACAAAAGCGTACGTGTAGAGTACTGAAGAGTGAAAACCGTAGAATCATCGACCATTCTAAACTTAATTATTGCATGCTTTTGTTTTGCCAAAATGATTATATGCTTAATAGGAAAATACATGGGAGAACGATTCGAATATGATCTTTTAATCTAATTATATATAGAAATATCAAAATTAATGATCACATTGGAAGGATTTTCCACAGGTTTCTTACAAAGAACCACATTGACTTACGATAGGATTTCCGAACTTCAAAACATTTATGGACCAAGTTGGGATGATCATAATGGGATGTACTGCTAGTATCATAATAATGGTGTTGGTTGACTAATATTAGCAACGATCTTGCAACATGCTTACAATAAATCTCATCTAAAGTTCTAAACCCTTAATATCATTCTTTGGGTTGTGTTTGATTAGTAATCAATACTAATGTAATATGTGTTTGTAATTAGTTACGCATTTAGCCGTAAATAAAGCTCGTATCTGTTCATATGCGTGTTGTATACATTAATATCTTCTCGTTGGCTCTAATTTCTAAATTCACAAGCTTTACAAGATGCAAATATACAAGACAGAAGCCGTAGTCATTATTAATTATTGACTACTACCCTCACTGAATTGACCATACAATTTCATTTTACTCCCTTATTGCAAAACGCCAAGAATCGGAACTCTGACATTTTAATACATATTTCTTTTTTTAAATACGCGTATCTCGCAAAAAATACCGAGCAATGGTGCCGTTAATTTGCTCCTGAATAAGAACAAAATCCAATTGTTGTTAGCTTATTAAACGTATAAATATGGTGTTTTTTTTTCAAAAAAAAAACTAACATCTCCAGAAGCATTTCTTTACCAATTTGATTATTGCACAATGTAAACAACATTTTTTGTATAATCAGTAAAGAAGTTCGTTTTTTAAAAAAAAAAAAAAAAACATTGCAACAAAAAATAAAAAATGGTAGACGGACAAATCACAGTTACTCATTTTCTGAACCACTCATCATCTCGAGTCCATGTCATGATTATGCTTATAGTGACAGGATCTTCGTCGACATGGACACTAGAGTAACAAGGCGCAAAGCGCCGGTAATAAATTGCATCTTAGTCTCGATTTTGTCTTATAATCATAGATAAAAAGAGATGGTTTTCTCTCATCTTTTTGTGTTCACATAATAACCAAAATTTTAATACTGATTAACTCATTTACTTTTATACTTGTTGTCTTTGATGGATTAATCGAAGATGATCCCTAGACATAACGAGGGCTCCTTATTTATATATATAGTTAATGAAGTTTTTTCGTGGTTAATATATATATATATCTCTAAACCTATAACAAAGTTTCTTGAGGCTTTACACTTATCACAATATAGTTAAGGTCATTGACAACTACCCCACCAAAATCAACTACCCCGTTTTGTATAGTCTCCATTTTTATGTTCATGTCTAATAAAACTGATGTGGGAATTATAAAATAGACGAAATGGCTCACTCATAGATTGCGACACTTGAGAACTTAAGATGATGAGATAGCTAGGATACATAATTCACAATAGTTGAAATAGTCGTACGAAGCTAGCCATCAAGATAATGAAGTTAAACATTCTTGATATCAACAGAACAGTGATTCATCTTAAATTAAAAGATCCAACGGTCATAAACCCAAGATGAAGCGAAATTACACAAACGGAAAAAAGCAAAAGGCATTAAAATTACACATGAGAGAAAGAAACAGAGAAAGGTTAAACTCAGTAGTCGGTGGTGGGGAGCTGTTCATGGGTGGTGTTGATGAAGAAAACCTCGTAGATAAGTCCGGCGATTCCACCTCCGACGAGAGGTCCGGCCCAGTAAACCCAATGGTTGCTCCACGACCAGCTCACAACCGCTGGTCCAAAAGCCACGGCAGGGTTCATGGAGGCTCCGCTAAAAGCTCCTCCGGCTAAAATGTTTGCTCCGACGATGAAACCGATTGCAATCGGAGCAATTGTTCCAAGACTACCGTTTTTAGGGTCAATGGCCGTGGCGTAGACTGTGTAAACAAGCCCAAATGTCATCACAATCTCGAAGACGAAAGCATTCAACACTCCTACTCCTGCAGAGAGGCCAAAAGCCGGCACAACCTAGAAAGAAAAAAAAAACGAAAATTAAAAAACATTACTTGACGGAGAAGTTAGGGCAAAAAATCGAATACCATTTTTAAAAAAGGGTAAAAGGGTAATTTATACATACCAAACCGCCGGTGGCGAATTTAAGGAGGAGACAAGCGACGACGGAGCCGGCTAACTGAGCAATCCAGTAGAGGATACCACGGAGGAGAGTGATGTTACCGCCGACGAAAGCTCCGAAAGTAACGGCGGGGTTAACATGACCGCCGGAGATGTTGGCGCCGACTGAGACGGCGACAAAGAGTCCAAAAGCGTGAGCAAGTGCGGCGGCGACGAGACCGGAGGGAGTGGTGGCTCCGTTTTCAGTGAGTTTGTTGAAAGCCATGCCTGAGCCTGAGCCGGCGAAGACGAAGATCATTGTTGAGATAAACTCAGCCAACGCCGCCTTTAAGGCGTCGGGTTTGGTCGCTTCCTCCGGCCGGCCAACGGCGATGTTTCTGATCGGCATGATTGGAATTGATCGAACGGCTGAGATTAAATCTTTCTTTGGATTGTTTAGAAGAGTGAGATGGTTCTTGATGATTTTTTTTCTGGTTTACTCTACTCTCTTACTTATATCTGAGGTGGCGCCATTTTTGTAACCGGTTACCGGTTGATAAAATTATTTAAGAAATAATAAAATTTGTTTGGAGCGTATTTGATTGGATCGGGTTGAGATTTGAATATGTTTGGAAACAGGCTAAACAAGTAATATCGTTGTATATCCAGCGAAGCGGAACCGACCTATCTACGTGGCGGACAATGACTTGTCATGGTTCTATATCTATGGGGGCTTTTGTCTTTTTTAATATTCTCTCTCTCGAATGATCGAAATGAAAAGAAAAATTTTCTTTTTGTTCGTGACGGTAAAAGCCTAAAAGCATGGACTTACGATTATTGTATTTTCTCTTAACTATTTTTTCAAGATTTTTATAACAAGGTTTCTTATATATTTCCAACATAGCAAGGCCATTTTTTGACCTAAACCACCAAATTTCTTAAAATAAAAGAAAAACTACATATATATGTATAAAAGTAAGTCTTACGGTTTTGATTTCATTTCCACACAATAATAGTTCTCTATCTATTTCCTTATTACTGTTTACAAACTAAATATAATCCAACTAAAACTGATTGTAACCAAACCCTGCTCGAAAAAACGACTTGTGAACGATCCGACATGATACAAGCTGGAGTTCATTATGTAAAATATACATCGCTTGCGTGAGTCCTTGAAGTTACGAGAAGAAATCATTTCTGAGTCGATACGGCTGATTTCATGAATTTAATAACCGTAGTGACGACATTAATTACATGCTAACCATCTTTTATGGACAAATATTGTTTATATTATTGTTAATCATAATTATATAATTAAAACTTGCAATTCTTTGCTCTCCACTATACAAGAAAAATTAAAAGATGTTATCTTGTCTATGATCACTGGTGTTTTTTATTTCCTAGCTAGTTCCTAAAAAAGTGTATTTCTAAATTAAATGATAAGGGAAAAATTCGTATTATAAGTTAGGATGTGATTGAAAATGATTTAAAAAACGGCGGGCTTACATAGAAGTGGAATCTTAAGACCTTTTCCATTAACAAATTGAATAATCTTCGATGGTGATCCTACCACTTAAAAGAATGTCAGAAACATAATCACTAAAAGATTTTTAACATTTCCGACCATTTCACAGTTTTCACTTATCATACAAATGAGATAATCTAAATATGTTTTTAAAAAGCATTTTGGTTCGTGGACCAATAATTTGTGGGAAAAAGTATTGTATGACGGTCCTCCACTTGAGGAAAAAATAATAATTTATGAATGTCCTACCACCACGTTGCAATCTGTTCCTTTTGTGTGGTTTTGGGTTACTTGGCTGATATAGGGATGCTAAAATGTGATGGAAAAAAACTCATAATATGTTTCAAGGGCAATAGAATTAGTAAATAAAACAACTAAGTTATATTCGTAAAACCAAATAAGTAGAGAAATCCAACGGTAAAATGATTTCAAAAAGGCACACAAAAACTAGAATGGAACTATACAATCTAAGATACCACAAAAAGAAATATTATTTCCAGGAATATCACTATTTTGTAAAAGTTCCAAATATACCACAAACTTAAAGTTTATGGAGGATTTCCGAAAGTTCATAAACTTTTTTACTAACCTTAAAAAAAACATATAATGTGATACTTTTAGAAATTACTCAATCTCAAACGCAATAAAATGGTTTGTCGTTTTTTTCAGCCGAACAAGATGGGTTGTCTTTGAAAATTCTATATAACACTACAATTTTGTATTTGTTATATATAATCATATCTCAAAATGTTATGATATCTTAAAATATTGCTTGTAAACATTTTTCAGTTGTCAAACAATTTCAAGCGATTGCCTTATTTTTAAGTGTTAACACATGAAACATGAGTTGTGTGTGTATTTGGAGAAACGTCTTATACCTTAACCAAACCAACTATATAAAAATTGGACTAGTCCTATCACATAACACGGGATGAAGTTGGGATATCTTAAAAATGTCTCTTTCAAAAAACTTATTTCTCTCATGTGTCTTTCAAAAAAACTATTGTAACTTGTGAATAACATGTGAAATTTTTCTGCTATGTATAAATTTGTACTATATTTTTAGAATTACCTAGATCGGGATGGATTGTTAGGTGGATCCATTGCTTTGAGGTTGATTGCATTAATGAACATTGACGGCGCACATCAAATAGATTGCATTATGCGTAGCAAAAATCGATCGTTTTATCAAAGAGCCTTCTAGTTCTTTCTTCTCACTGTCATATAGAATTCTCCAAAACATAGTAGCCCATCAATAATAGAATCTCCAAAACACTGACCCTCATATATACTTTTATTTTAGGGGTGACGATATATTGACTCTTATCGATTGGTCGATTTTCCTTAATGACAACATTAACATTTTTGACCGTTTTGAAAATAAACATTTGGATCATTTATCTTGACTTATATACCTATGTCTACGAATCAAATCATTTCTAACTGTGAAAGAGCCACCAAACTAATTCGTGGACATAATGACGTTCGATTTTGATAAAATTAGTCCATTTGAACTTTGGAGAAAAAAATAATAATTTGACACAAACAAATTATTTAAATAGACAGCAAAATTGCATTAAGAAACGTTTTGGTATACCAAAAAAAAAAATCAAACACATGAAACTGATCCATACTAGTTTTGATTTCAAGTTTTCAACTATAACAAGAAAAAATCTACAAAAGTATGAATTAAATCCTATTGAACACTTACCTAAATCTGTCATAGGTATTTTCCCTCTTTTGTCTTGTTAAATTCTTATAAAAGTTATCAAAGGTTAACATGGATCATTAGATGTTCATCATCTTTACCAAAACTATATTCTTTAATTATTAATTATGAAAATGATTAGGTTTGGTGAGCTTGCGCATTTCGTTCTCTCTTTCTCTGTCTCTCTTTTGTGAATTGTGGGGTTTTGGTCGGTGTAGTTATTATATTCCAGGGCTCTAAATTAATCATTAAGAGTAAGCAACTTGTCCGTGGAAAAATAGAGTAATAAATTTATAGTTTTATACATTGTATATGAACCACCAAATCAATATTTAGACATAAACGAGTGACACTAGATTGATATAGGTTATACTTCGAACAAGAACGAGTGATTAACCGTCCTTTCGATTTTGTTATTTGTCTAGTTACATCTTAATGGTAATTAAGAAGAACTAAGAAGTAAGAAGTATAACACCTATGATCTAACAGTTTTTTAGGTTCCATTTCTAATATATCTTTATTCCGAGGGTAAAAATAAACAAATTCTAATGTATTTTTGTTTTTAAGATAATGAAAAAAAAAAGATAATAAACTTAATTTTTTTCAAACTGATTTTTTTAGGACTAAACATTCTAAGAAAATAATATAACAAAATCAACTAGCCACAACAAGTAACTTTTTTCTTCTAAATTGGCTATGAAAATTTCCTCTTGCCATCTTCGTATTCCTTTAATCCTTTATTCTATAAAAGAAAATTAGAAATTACAAATATGAAAAAAACATAAATTTCATAGTAAGAAAACAATAAAATAAAACAAGAATAATTTTTTCCTTAGTCTGATCGTTACGTGGGCGAACTACAGTCCAAACCGGCCAACCTATCCATCCGACCGGCCAATACAAAAAAAAAAACTTCAACATCATTACTGTTGACTTAAATAATAGTTTTAGTGGCTTTATATTTTGACGTAGTAATTTAGATGGTTTTAATTTAAAACCACGTTGACAAAGCAAGATATTATAAAATAAACTAAATAATGGGACCCGAGTGAAATTATAATGCTCTAATCAAAAGTTTGTTTATATAGCTTGAAAAAAACCTACCAACTCTCGGCTGTGATAGTTTTTTGTTTCCTTGTCTTTCTTTTGTCGTGAAGTTATTCAGATCGATGCTCTGAACGATTAAATTTAGTTTTGGGGGCAATTTTAGTTGTTTGGAATAGTTGGCGAATGTATGATAAGAAACTCGTTCATTAGAAAGCATACTTGTATTATGACCCGAGTGAGTGTTCCGTTTGAGTCTTCCTTCACAGACCACAGTTTTTTTGGCCTATCCTATATCATTAACAAGGCCACAACATTCTCCGGAATGACTGAAATGATGTATTCTTTCATAAACTTCCCGACGCTCGAGTAAAAATGGGCAACATGACTGGACGAAGAACATATTTCATACAATTTTGATCAGATATCTTATACAAACCATATAACGATTAAAGAGATGTGATTCTATAAACTTTATGATTACTAAAACATGTGCATCTTCACAAGATGACAAGATCACTATATCTCTAAGCAACTTACCAATCATACATAGCATAGAGTATTCCGTATATAAAAAAAAGTTACCAATCATAAATATATGTAGAAATTTTAAGAATGACGGACTGGATTCTACAACTCTACATTTCGTTACCAATCACAATTATGTATTGTGTGTTTTCATTCTGTAATTTACAAAATTAATTTTATACAAAAAAAAATCTACAAAGTCAATGAAAAATATGTATGGAAATCTATCATTCCTTAATTTTTTTGGTTTAACTATCATTCCTTAATATGTTTTCTACTTGATCATTCTCCATTTTATTTAATATACTTTATAAGCCTTCTATGATTCCGCCGTTACATGATGTTACAAATTTAGTAAAAGCAAGATAAAACCGTAAAAAGCAGAAATATTACAAAGTTAAAAAGGAATGAGAAGAATGGAGATGGGAATAAGAAACAAAGTGGGAGGACATACTGGTGAGAGTTACTTTTGGTGATTTGGTCAAACACATTTTGACTTGTAACCCCAAAAAAACTTTACTGAATGTTGCAAATTGCCATAGCGTCCCCTCACGTGTCATTTGGGGCTACTATTCGTCGTAAACACTAAACAATTAATAATTTTTTTTTTGTTTGTTTGCTATATTATGGATTTGTTTGCTACATTATGGTCGCCTTTATACGCCGTGGGCTGGAGAAAAATTAAAATA